TTTAATATTTAAAGACGCTGTTTTAGATAAAAACCTTTCTCTTGAAAATAGTTATAGGAAGCACTAGTAGAGGTGTTGAGAGCTTTTCCAGAATATCTCTCACCAAACTTACATAAATAAAAATAAATTTGAGTTAAAACAAACTTTTACACCTAAATGTGTTCTCCCATTTCCAAAAGAGTAAAAATTAGTGTCACAATTGGTAAAGAATTTGCTATGCAAATCAGATGAAATCTTAACAAGTACTTTGAATGGGGCAAAACCCTCATTATTTCACAATCTTCAAATCCATCTGTACAAAACTTTCAACACGATTAGTGATCATTTTGATTTCATTGTTTGGCAACAGCTTGTTAGTTGACTTGGACGAACATTTTTAACTGATTTATTACTCTGAAAATAACTCAGATTAAACAAATTATTTTTATCATATTCTAAAGACATTTTCAAAGATGCTAATAGTTGAGTTTGAGTGGCAACCTCTTTCTCCATCGCTTTATTAGTTACAAACATGTTTACAGTAAAAAATTAACATTATTGTAAAAATCAGAAGGTAAGGCGAGTCGGTAGGGCATATACCAATAATGTTAAAACAGATCTTTTTCGATGTACCTTTTCTCAGTATCAAAACAAGATATGGCTTCCATTTTTTTCGCAGAATATTTAAATATAGATGTTTACACTGTTATAAGTTAGTACATATCTTTGGCTGAAAAGTTTTAAGAAAATATGACTGAACTTTAACCAAAACTTATAAACTGAAATTTTTTAATTTTTTAAAAACTTTAGTAGTTTTTGAGCAAAAATCTTTCATAACTCAAAAAGTATATCCCGTAATACGTTAAAAGATTATCACAGCATACAAGTGATATAATCTCAAATACCCGCAAAATATTTCAAAGCGATTTCATGAGCAGTTTTTTAGAAATGGTGCAACGAAAACGGTCAGTCTTAACATTATTGATCTATGCTCTATCAACTCCCCTTTAAATCTAAATTACAGAAAAAATAATTTAAGTAAACTTTAAAACAGGAAAAATAGATAGAAGGAAATTGTGAGGGAATTTCCATTAGCCATTCTGCAAACAGATTTTACATATTTTTTCAAGATTTTTAACGAGCACCAAGATTTGAATGATTACTGCTAAAGATGCTTCCTCCCTTGTTTTACTAATCACAAAAGAATGTGCATAAAAAGTCACGTGCAATTTTAATTACAAATTGAATAATCTTTTAAATATAGTAAAACTTAAAGCAGGAAGAAATTTTGTGGGGTTTTTTCCATTAGTCACTTCTTTTAAGAGGAAATGATTGAAACGCAAGGGCGTGCAATGAGGATTTTTGTTTGCTCGGATGGGTAGAGAGTGGTTTTGTCTCAAAAGTGAAATAATTAATTTTCCACTTGTTGACACACTGACTTATCGCTGAAATACTTTGAAAAGTAATTTATAGAAAAGGTTTTCAAAAGAAAACGCTTGCTGATACTTTAGTCTTTTTCTCGCATATATTTTTTTTAAAACTATTTTTATTAGCTGTAATTCGAGAACATAATCAGATTTTGATTACAATTGTGCTATAGATAGTAATAAAAAATTAGTAAATTACGCAGAGAAAAAAATTCTGATAAAGTTGCTGTAACATAAGATAATGACATATCTGGTAAAAAAATTTTTAAAAAAAAAACAAACAATGATTTTGGTTTTGGAAATCAAAATATACGGTATTTAAATTATTCATATGGAAACGGTTTGCTGAAAATCCTTTCTTTTTTAATTCTAACTCTTAATACCACACATTTAGTAGAAGATAAATAAAAACTGAAAAGTAAATTTCCCTGAATAAATGGTTTTTCTGCCCTGATTTAAAGAATCATGATAAAATTACCAAATTTTACCACATTTACCAAATTTTTTCGCTAATTACAAAAAACCTATTTTGTTGTTATTTTCACTAAAATCGTAACCAAAGTGCTATGGTAGAAATTACCGAGCTTTCGGCCATATTTAATATTTAGAACAATAAAAGCAATAAAATCAGTAGTTTCAGCAATAAAATTTTTTCGGTTTACGTATTATTTATTGAATTTCAACAGAATTTTCTTAAAAAAGCTTAGATACGAACATTAATGAACATGATACGAATGAATTAGATTAATTATAACTTGAAAATAAAATATTTTTGCGAACATGCAAAACGGCATTTCTTCAGTAGTTTTAAATAATTATTAATTTAAAATTTTTCTGGTATAAAAAAACCTGAAATTCTTAATTATTATTTCTTTCATTTAATGAAAGCTTGATAAATTCTTTACTTTAAATAATAATGAACATTTCATTTGTTAAGCGCTATTTCTTAGAAAACAGATATTTTTAGAAAATAATAATAATAAACTTTATTTTACTTACATACCTAGTATTACCGATTTATAAATATAATATTTATGATTTATAATTAAGCGATAAAGAATAATTTTACTTCTGGTACATTCTTAAACATAAATATGAAACTATTCCTATAATTGATAATTTATATAATAATGATATTATAATTTATTTTCAAGTAATCAACCATTTCGATTTACTCATTGTTATTGTTTCGTCACCTATGCAAAATCAGAATTTTTATCAAACTATGAAGAACATAACATGCATTTTGTAATAAAAAGACTGAAACAGCCCTTTTAGTGAACGTTATTCATTCAGAATTATATTTTTCTCAAATAACCTTCCTATAAAAAAAACTATCAAGTAAATTCCCGACATAGATGACAGAACAACAAATATAATAAAACGATTTTTTCAGAAAAAAAAATTAACAATGCAAAACTTGTATAACAGAGGTCCCTAATAAAACATGAAGGGTGTGTGAATTATAACACGGAACTATTGTGTTTATTCTCTTTTCATTTTTAACTTTTACGTGAGTTATAAAAAATAAATAAAATTCTTCTACGTAAAATGAAAGTTTTAATCCTGTTTTTTTGTTTTGTATTTATAGCAATATACATGGCTTAGTCATCGTATCATCGTTGTATAAATATAGGGCGAGTGTTACGATGTTCGAAGTCCGTGTCAATTCATGAGAACTAAATACTAACAAGAAAAATATGTGAGATTTTAATTCGTTCAAAGTATGGATTAGGATAATCAACAGTAATAAAAGAAAATAAATAATTGAAAATCTGCTTAAAAAAGTTAATTAAAAATATAATGAAGTAAAATGTAAATTAAAAATAAATATAATTTTCCGAGTTCTTATTCTAAGCGTAAATGATAAAGTGTGAAAGAAAAGTGGAGTTTCAGTTGAAAAAATTAAAAAATGTTAATTAAACATTAATATACACATTAAAATATACTCTAAAGCTGACTAATTTTTATCAATCTGAAAACTATTTGCAATTTCGTATAAATTTGATGTTATGCATAACATCTGTTACTGTGTATGACCGAATTGGTGACTGTTGACTTCCACGGTGAATGTTGACAATTAAATAGTCGCTTAGGTAAATGTCCGAAATATATACTAGGTGTAGTTAAGTGCAACAGCCCGGTATACAATTGCCCGGTATGCCCCGCATCAATGTTTCTTTAAGGTCAAATGCCACTGCCCAATATGCATTTAACCAGTACACCGAACACTAATGTTTCTCCTAATCCATCCTCAGCAAATATTAAAATATCGAATAAATATAATGATATCAACGAATAAATTAACATCAAATTGGATATAACAAATATTCAGGACATTCACCAAAGCGACTGTGTGATTGTTGACATTCACAGGTGAAAGTCGACATTCTCTTGATTTCAGTCATTCACGGTAACATATACACTCATCATCATCATATCTGGCTAGACAGCCCAGGGTGGGCCAGTGCCTTCCTTTGAATTCGAATCCACTTCTCTCTACTTTTGACACTTATTCGCCAGTTTTTTGCCTTTAGAGTAAGGAAATCAGTCTCAACTAAATCCAGAAAAAAAACATATACACTAACAGTGAGCAAAAATGGAGATAAAATAATATATGGTTCTAAGATGACATCTTGAAAAAAGTAATTTATTATTAATATAGTAATTAAAGTCGTAGTTATTTTAACTGGTCGAAAAATTTAATTTTTAACATTTAATAAAAATTAATTTTTTTGAATAGAATTATTTAACTAATTAATATCAGTTATAGAATATCAGATAAGCATATTGTGATGGCTGTAAGTGCTGGGGAAATTTTTAAAACATGCGCTTACTTAATTAATATTTTACTACCACTTAAATAACGTAGAGTATTAGAACTTTAGAGTTGGCAGCTCAGTAATTATATGACTGTTAATTAAGTATTAATACGACAGAAAAACTTCATGTGCATGACATTTTCAGATAAATAGTTAAAAAAATAGTTAAGAGTTAAGATATGATCGAAATCATTCAAATCTCCACCATTTCCAATCTATTATAAAATTTAATCATAAATGGGAAATAATTAAATTTAAATCTTAACCATTAACGTTCATGTAAATTAAAGTTTAAAAAAAGGTGCAATTTGCATAACTTTTTGTGCACACAAACTAAATAAAATGTACTACAAAGCAAAGAATTTCAATCTATTAATTCTCGTCGTTTGTAATTCTAAGATTACATTAAAACATTAGACAAACTAAGTTATGTCTAAGCATTGTTATAAAAATTTTAATTTATTTTTTCAATGGAAACTGTCTTAAAATAATCATCACCTAAATTAAATTGTCTGATGTTTTTGTCCCTCATATAAACTCAAAGATTGCGTTGATTTTCAAATAAAAAAATTCCTAACTGAGTTGGAGCTTTTTAAATATTTTGGTTCTTTTAGTTCAGATGAAAACAGCAGTTGTTTTATTCAAAAAAAAAATTTTTAATTATAGATAAAATATTATCTTAAATATCAATAATGTTTTTATTAAAGAAATGTGTGACTTATTCATATGTTGAAGACAAAAATATCAAACTAAATAAATGTTCATTTTTCAGATCTGATTTGGATGGACAACATGTTTTGCACTGGGAGAGAGTTCAGATTGGACAGGTGTAGATTTGATGGTTGGGGTGTACATGATTGCAATCACGCTGAGTCTGCTGGAGTAGTATGCGATGGACAGAGAGCTAGAGCAATTTCCCAGGCATCCTCTCCAGAAGCTTCTCCAAATGCCATTCCAGCCGCCCCCGCACCACCTGCACCACCAGCATCAAAGACCAAAATCAGGGTAAAATAGAATAATTATCCTGTTTCCCCTCATTTTTCTATGTACGAATATCGTTACAAAGTTTAGGAAAAAATTTTATTATTTTTCAGAATCTTAGCAACTTAACTCATTGAATAGCGTTTGCCTCGTACCTCCATGCAATCTTTATGATTAGAAGAAAATGTCTGAGATACGCAGCTTAATAAGAAATAAATTTAAATTATTCTATTCTTTTGGTTTTATTATTATCTTTCGTGTATTATATAGTACTTATTAATTTAGTTTTTCACGAAAATTGTAGGGAATTTCTTAATATCTATATAAAAACTACAATTTTATATAAAGGGTCCTTAAAGCTTCTAAAAATATATGAAAATACGGCTTTTTGTGCTTTGAAGAAAGAGCTCCTCAATAAATTTTGACTCAGGGCCAGTAAAATTTTTATCTGGCCTTGAATATAATAGTTCATGGGCCTAGCATAGACACACATGAAGGATGTACCTGGTCTTTCCTCGAGAGCAGAGGTTATCGAAACGAAACGGAACAATGCTACTATTGGATGATATTCTTATTGTTTTTGGGGTATAAATCTTTAGTAAACGCATAATAAGCTAAAATAATTTTTATAACTCTCATGACCAGGAAAAAAGTACAGCTTAAAAATTCTCAATTTACCCACTAGAAAACAGATCTCGAGGATTTTCCACACAATCGAGGCACCCGGTCTTACCCCACCCTCTCCTATTTGTCTCTTTTCACAAATGCATTATCTTAATTTCAAAAAAATAACAGCTGTCCTAATATATTCCATTTTGTTTATCACATGAAATTGTTGAGAGCACTGATATGCAATAACAAAAATACCTGTACTTTTTTATTACTTGAGTTATACTGAATGTTATTATGATAAAACAAATGAAATTAATCATAAAATATTTGCTATAAAGCACTTGGTGGCTTGTAAGTCATTATTGTAAAGCTGACAGCAAATATTACAAGAGACATAAAACAATGTCAAACACGCAAATGTTTATGTGTTTTCTAAAACAAAAACTTTAAATGTCGTTTTTATGAGACTGCCATACATGGAACTTATGATATATGAAAATTCCACAATTTATTGAAATCCACTAATGGATGGAGTCATCTTCAAACTGATGGATACCAAGCTATCTGGGTGCCATCGATGGGTGACAAGATTACTGGCTCGCAATGCTGACTATTTTAACACCTTCATGCTAGTCTCAGAATTGTGGAGACTTAAACTCCGCTATCTCTTGACTAACATCTCGATGTTGCACGATTTTTTAGATGATGATGTAAACAAATAGAATAAATTATATGATTTTAATGTTTCATTAATTTTTTTAATTTTTAATTTTCTAGTTGGTGGTGGAAAAAGATCTGGCCATTAGACTAGTAGGTGGTAGGACAACAACAGAAGGACGTGTAGAGATTCGCATGCCCCAAGGTTGGGGACAAGTATGTGGAGACGGGTGGAGTATCATGGAAGCGAATGTAGTTTGTAATCAGCTTGGCTTGGGACATGCAAGATCCTCAGTTCAAGTAAGTGTCTAATTTTTAAAATAATTAAGTTCTTTAATACTTTACTTAGTACAATCATCTTCCGCCAATATATTAACTGTTTACTTATCAAAACGATGTACTCTACTTTTACGGTAGCTGAAAATATTTTGATATAACTTACTTAAAGAAAAGATCCAAAAAATTCTTAAGCTGACGGAATAATTAGGGAATTCGTTAAAAAAAACGCAAATTTAAAAACAAAAAAGGGTGTAGCTAAAGATTATTGAGATTGATAAGGTAATTGACAAAAAATGAAGACCTTAATAATATTGTATCCGAATGATCGGATTTTCACGTACTAGGATTCAATAGTCGGAGGGCATAACTTTAAATATGCTAATTAATGAAAACGCTATTTTAAGTTGCAAAATCAGACACAAAAACGTACTTAGCTGACTAATCATGCTTTTTTTTCGATGGATTTGGATACATGACACTCAAAATATAGGAGTGGGGTAAATTTGGTTCTAATAGTTAGGCGAACGGATAGTTTGGATTACTTAATGTTTACTTCCCTTTTTGCATACTTCGCCATCTTACAAAAAATGTCACCTCTTTAAAATTTTAAAAACTATTCATTTTACCATCGTAAATATTAGGTTTTATCATTTAAAGTTATGTAGATTAAATTAGTGCAAACATTTTTATACTTTGCAATTCAAAAATTTTTTGACTATAAGTAAAGTTATAACAAAAAAGTAATAAATAGCTTGAAAAATTTATTACTCAGAATTATGTTTAGATAAACAAGTTTAATTATAGCGTGCGAAAATTTCTTGATTCGATTCATTAGTTCCGAGGATATGGCGATGAAAAAGAAATCTTCGCTTTGGAAATTGAAAAGGATAAGGATGCTCTGACGAATTTTATATTATTATAACATGCGTGATTTATTTTTTCTAAAAAATATTCAGTACAGTTTTCAGTACTTGAAATACGAATATAGATAATTTAAAATAAATCTAAAAATTTTAAATGCTCTGTTTGGATTTTATTGATTATTTTATGAACCCTAATCTATGCTTTTTTTAAATATATTTAATGTAACTAGCTTCTTTAAATAAAAAGCACCACGTTTAGTTTCTTCGACTATGTTAACACGCTTACTTCTTTCGACGATATCAGACTTAAAATTGGTTTATATTTTTTTAATGTACCAAAAACAAATTAAATTTCACAATTGGAAATTTAAGATGAAAAAGAGTTGGCATTCTTTTCTCTGTTTTAAAACGTGATACCGGTGATACTCAAATGTTTTCTAAGTTACAGAGGTTAGTAAGTTAGTTACTAAGTAAGAAACAGTTATTTTGGAGACCTTTTGTAAAACACGATTTCGGAATTTAAAAAAAAAACTTTATATGACATTTCTTTTTAAATTTTAAAAATATTTTTCACTGTTTAACGCGTTTTGAATTTGATGAATGTTCAAAGAATTCATGCTTTATAACAACTTTCTTATCTAAAAAATAATATATTAAACTTTAATAAAGAGTATCAAATTTCTAAATTAAGTTTCTTAAAAATACTATTACAGAAAACTGTACCAAATATCAATATTTTAAAATTTATATCTCTCTTTTTCTGTACAACAAAAAAGGTCGAAAATAAACGAAATGAATTGCAATTAATGAAATATAACGTATGGATACTTGAAACTAGAATGTGTTAAATAAAAGATCTTTTATTTGTTGCAATTATACAGCAATATAATATGCAATTATCGAACTACGGTATAAAGTACTGCACTGTTAGAAATTTCTCTGAAAAAATGGTTAAAAAACAATTTATTGAATAGTTATTTTACCATATTTAATCAAAACTGTCAAATAACCATAAATAAAATGGTAAACAAACCGTTAAGTTTGAGAAAGACTGTTTATTAACTGCTTTCACCTAATAAACAACATCTATTACCTAAACTAATAAGAGTCTATACCTAAACTCTGGTTAAACAACCAGAATTTTATCGCACCAACTAGAACCACCTAATGAAGCTACTTAGTTCTTTGAAATTGCGTACATATCATAGCCGAGCTGCTTATCTGTCAATCTCCTGACCGACAGAACTGGAGTTGGAGTCCATGTGTTATCACCACAATATTTCCACAATATTCCCTTCAACACATGAAGAATTTCCACTGTCGGGCACTCTCCAATATCCATTACCTTACGAAAAGCCGAGCTCCTATGTCTAGTTAAATAATATAAAAAAAATTACGTTTTTGAAAAATGCTAGTTGTAAAGGGTTAAAAAACCGTCTAGTTCTGTATTCATGGTTTTATAACCAAACTTTTTGTAGATGGTTTCAAAACCATAAAAAAAATGTTCTTTACCGTAAACTTAACGGTTGATCGAATGGACAGACAGCTGCCAGTTATTTTACCATAATTTTAGAAAGAAAATTTTAACAGTGTGGTGATTTCAGACGTCTCATCCTTACAGTCCATTTTAATCGTAAAATCACTAATATTTCTTTAATTTTTCATTCAGTTATTCTAGTGATTCAGTGATTTTACCGTAATTATTACTGTAAAAATTACGGTAAGTCAGATTTTTTGTTCCATCACCTGTTCCGATAAAAATGGGTTTTACAATACAAAAGAACCAGTACCCTGAGTGCTGGTATTTTTTACCTGAATTTGACCAGGAACTTTTTACAATGTTTCTGGGATTATTTTTTTACTTTATAAGGAAATGATATTCAATATAAATAATATCCAACATAAATAAAGAAAAAACATTATCAAAAAAGGTCTCAAAGACATTTTAAGTTTTCTTTCTTTATCACTTATTTACGTTGCTTCAGTAATTTTGCTATTTTTTTAAAGTTTCATTTTTCATAAAAGTGTATTTAACTCCTATTTAATGTGTACGGTATTATTAACTTTAGAGTGGAGAATATGGAGGTTCTCACAGCCAAATGTTCCTAAGCGGAGTGAAATGCAAAGGAAGCGAACACAACCTTGCAGATTGTCTTCACGATCGAGTAGGAAGTGTTTTTTGCCCTGGCGAAGAGAATATTGCTGGTGTTGTCTGCTCTGCCAGTAAGTATTTTTACTCATTAAGTTATCAAAAAACTATTGTATACTGTGGCGTAACTACCACTACGAATATTAAACATTTATTCACTAGTATATAAGACATGCTAACTTTATTCAATCTCGAGGTACCTTTTGATAGATAAAAGTTGGCATAGTCGATAACATCTTCCCCCACATTGGTGACCCGGACGTTGTATGATCCCGATTACTTCGGTGGATGGTTCACATTGAACAGTTGTCTTGACAATTGTGACTGCGTCATCGTCCTTCAAATGCCGTTGCTGCTCAGTCTTATTAATACACAACGAGATCCTGCACTCTCGACTGATAATAGCAACACAGAAGTAACCACACACACAACCATGAACTTAATATAGCTCTCATTGGTAAAAGCTCAAAACTCGGTGACCTTAATCCAGCTCTCTCGGTCTTTCACAAATACAGCAATTAGTGGTATCCGTTCATCGAGTTCCATCCCTGATAAAATTCTGGCGGGGGAGTATTGTGGCGTAACTACCACTACGATTATCAAACATCAGTTCACTAGTATATAAGACATGCTAACTTTATTCAATCTCGCGGTACCCTTTGATTGATAAAAGTTGGCATAGTCGATAACATCTTCCCCCACAATACTATAAAACTATAAATAAAACTATAAGCATACAATAAGTATAACTATAAGTAAGACTATAAGTAAAACTGTAAGTATACTACAAATTGAGATTAAAATATTTCAATAATGAATTTTTTTTCGTTAAATATATAAAGAAATTAAGAATCTGAGACATTATTGATACTTTATATTTAAAGCGTAAAATTAATTCAATGATATTTTGATCTAAAAAGAATAGTACAATTTTAAAAATGAAAAACTCAAATATATGCCAGCAATAAAGCAGAAAAGTTATTTAAAACCATTACACGCTTATAGTTATATCATTGGGTAAAAAAATTGCTAATGTGTGTCCCAAAATCATCCGATTTGAAATGAAGATTAGTTTTATTAGATTAAAATTACACATACTATAAAAAAAATTTCAGTTTTGAGAAAAAAAAATTCTCTTTGTATCATATAACAATATCATTCCTGAAAAAATAACAAAAAAGAAATAAAAGAAATTTTAAATGTCTCTTTTGAATGAAAACTTAAAGCAATCTCTGAGTTATTCTAAAGTACAATTATTCAGTAATATTTAATAGAAATATAGCCCTTCATTTTCTTAACTTGCAGGTCTGACTAATAATTCTTTAAACTGTTCTTTGCTAACCATTATGGTATAGTTCATAAAATATTTAAACTATAACATTAATATTACAATTATTATTATAGATAATAATATTAAAAGGGATGTTTAACATTTTGTATGTAATATTTTGAGCCATGTATGGGGTTATTGTTTTTGAGTTAGAGGAAATATTTAAGAAATCTGTGAATAATTTGCTTATAATTGGAATTAATTTTTGGTAAAATGGGTATCAAATCTGGAATCAATAAACACCTCTTAGACATTGTGAAAAATAATTCTTTCTCACGTAATTTGAAAAATACAAAGAAGTTGAAATTGTTAAAAAAGTTCAATCCAAAATTTAGTAGAATCGTCAACAATACTCGGTTTTATTATCCCTGATTTTAGAAATAAAATATTTTGATTGCATGTCCTCAAATTCCTATTTTCGAATTACCTAAATCTATCAGTTGATCAGTCAGATTTTTATCATGATTTTAATTCCAACCATCTTCTTTTCTTGTTTTTAAAAAAATTATGAGTTACGAATATACAATTTTAACTACTTTATTAAAATAAAGCAATTTTCTTACTATATTATTATTTCCAGCTCTGTTTTCAAAAATCCCGGAAATCAATATACACATTATCATTAAGCTTTTGCATATTTTTATAAAATAAAAAAATAATGAATGAAATAAATTTAATAACAAGCAGTAAATATACCTCAAAAAACAACGAGGGTGTGGCATTGCTCTGATTGATCAAAAGCCCTTCAGCTTTTAAGATACTTTAATTAATAAGGACTTCTTATAAGGCGAAACCAGTTTCTAATTTTTTTTTAAACTGCGCCCATTACATTTAGCAAGTAAAAGCTACTTTAAATATTTTTTTACGTATAAATATTTTTTCGGCTTGAGGATTATCCCCGCCTGTTTGTTGTTTTGTCCCTTCTTCGCAAGTAGGACAAATATTTGATTTGTTTTATTTCTTACAATATCGAAAACAATAAGAGAAAACGTCTAACGTTATTTGTTCTGACAACATTACGTCGTTCAATATTGTATTGCTTTTTAGCCTTCCTGGTTTTAATAATAATGTGTCAAGTATGAGTGCTTTTGCATCGTAATCAGGAGAATTTTTCGAGTGTTTTACAATATACAATCACGTATAAGTAACCTCATTATGTCAAAAGTCACAAACAACGACACAATCCTTGCGCTAGGTTGTTTGAACAACGGAGTGTTCAAGGCGATTTTGTTCATGAAGTATTGTTGAATTATTAGTTATCTGAACAGTATTGTTCAGAGTAACAAATTAAGGAAACTATCTATCCTATCTATTAAACTATTCTTTTATATAAAATAACGTTTTTTCATTGTTGTTTATACATTAAATTTTATTTTATCCAAAATAATGAGAAGTGATAATTTTTTACCGTTATTTAATTTATAAGTACTCAAAATTAGGCATTTTGTAAAGATTCCACGTTCGAAAATAAGTTTTTTTTCTAAAGAAAAACTCAAGGAAAACCTCTTACATGATGTTTCCGTTAAAATAATTTTAATGAGACAGTAAAATTAAAAACAAGTAAAAAATAAGACAGAAAAATAAAAAGAAATGAACCCTTTTAAGAATTAATTTCAATGTTAATTCTCTTAAAAAAAGTATCAAAATACATTTTTGACAAATTGTTTTTTTCCTTCTCAAAACGAGTATTAAAAAAAATACAATGCATCAAATAATTATCTGCGTCTTCTTAGGGTTATTACGTTTAAACATTTAAAGGGAATACTTGAACGCCATAACTACTTTATAATAATAAAATTGATAATTATCTGAAGAGTGATTTAAATTTAGCGCTATGAAAAAATGGCATTTTGAATTGGCAGATAATTAATTTTCTTTTTCTAAACAGTTCCCTTAAAATAAAATGGGAGTTTTTAAAATACATAATTATAGTTTTTTTCTCTTGTCCTGCCGATTGAAGAGCTTCGTTGAAGAAGGTATAAGTATGCTTTTCGTTGTACGTTTGACAAAAATAAAACTCTTTTCTCTTTTTTTGGTCTGCTTAAAAATTTGCATTTTTTTATTTTAATTTATAATTTCTCTGTTTATTATTTTTGTGATTGTTTATTTCGAAATGCTGATTAAAATGCAATTTCTGATGAAATGGAGAAAATGTTTGCTCCTCGGTTCATATAAAAAAAAATTAAAACTTTTTTTATTGGCATCAGACACAGAACTCCAATTAAAATTTAAGCACTCTAGCTTGTCGGAAAGAGGTGATATTTGATTGATAATAAATTGTATTTAATAATAAAACAGTTATATAATAAATTGAAACTTTCAGTGTCGTGTAGTTGAAGTTTTAGATTGACAAGAAATTCTCCTTGTAGGTAATGTGGCGATAAATTCTGCTTAGCAGTTAAGAAATTATCGGATTCAGAACAACACTGCAGTTAAAAGATAAACACTATAGTTAGTGGATATGTTGTAACAATTTAAATTACTGATAAATTCTATTTGATGATTTAAAAAAAAATTTGCTAAATTTTGCTTGCAGTCATCACAAAGTGATTGAAACTTGCATTGTCTTCAGGAAAAGCTCCAGTGGAGATTTAAACCTTCCTCCAGTAAAAAAAAAACTTTTTTTAAAGTTTTTTTGAAGGGCGAAGTTATTGCACTATATTTACAATTTACCGTAACATGATTTATATTCAAAATATCCCTTTTTCTATTAGTACTTTTTTATTCAAGTCTTTAAAGAAAACTGCTAGATAAAAGATTAGTGTAAATAATTAGGTTAAGGTAGGAGAAGTTAATATCATACGAAATAAATTCAAAAATTCATAACACGTATATTATATAAAATTTTGTTCATTTTTTCAAATTTATCTTTTCTTATCATTAAATATACCTACATTTGATTTGAAATTTGCTTTTGAATACAAAAGAAGAATTGAAATTTCACACAAAATGAATTTTTGCTCACTTGAAGTTATTAAATAGAAGTTCATAAATAATAAAAATATTTTTATTATTGCAAATAGTATGTTTAATTTTTATAATAGTTAGATTACCGATATTTAATAAGCTTAATGTGCACGACTAGTTTTGGAAACAAATATTATTAAAAAGTTATAAAAAAGGGTGAGCGAAAATTACTTGACCATTTTTTTTTATTCTGAATAACTTCATAACATATAAGATACTTACGTATTGTGCATCCATAACTCGTATAACTCTTTTTCTGCAGATGGAAATCAGCAACAGCGATTAAAAAAATTGGTAACATGTCTGGAAACAGTAATAAGAATCTTAAACAAATGAAGCAACACATAAAAAATATGAAATAATCTCTGAATAAATGAAAACTAAATAAATGAAACGACATATGCCTGTTACACGTGTAAGCAACACAACTTAACAATATTTTTGGATTTGGATTTAAAAAGTTGAGTTGTTCCCATGTAGCTTGTATAAAAAATAATTTTACGAATAAATCTAAACGAGATAAATAAAGCTCAAACAGTGGCACAATTTGTGCTTTATTCTTTCAGTAGTACGAAGCATACCCTATCTTTATTTGAAATGATATTACATTTCTTCATATACTGCCTTTAAAAGTTATTAGTATCAAAGTTAGTGTATTGAAGGGGGGCTTAGAAAATATGTTTCATCGAATGATTTTCTTTTCAGCTTTGCCTGACTTAGTGGTGGATGAAAAAGAAATCGAGAGAACTTCTTATATTGATAACATACCTATGGCAAATTTACAATGTGCATTAGAAGAAAACTGCCTTTCATCAACAGCGTATGACAGAACAAGGCCAGGTCAGCATTTTTGTTTATGATATTTAAATTCTAACTGAAATTGTAATATTTGAAGTTTAACCTTTTTAGGTTAAATAAAACTGTACTTACACCAAAAAAAATAGAAGACTTTTTAAAGACAAATAAATCCCATAACTTTTTATCGTCTTCAGAACACAAACAATTTTGTTAATAATATAGCAATATATTTTTGCTGTGGAGTAACACATTAAAGATGTTAAATCAATATTATATTATATTTTTTATTTCATTGTAAATTTTTTTATTTAAGTTATTAGATATATTTCATTAAATATTTGATTATATATAACATTCATCGAGAATAAAATAGATAAAAAGTGCATTAATATACATGTTATAGTCTAAATTTTGAGCCCGGCATTCAACAGAATGCCTAAAAACGATTGACAGGGTTTGAAATTATTAATATTTTACAAGTTGCTTAGGCATTCTACGGAGTGACTAATGACATACGTTGCCTAGTCATTTTATTGAATGAATAATGCAAAATTTTCAGGCATTCTATACAATGATTACGCATAAGTATACAATAATTATCAAATTTCATACTTTGCATAAGAGGCATTTGTCATTCTAAAGAACTTCGAAGCAAAGTATCTAATAATTCTTATACTTTGTCTAAAAAAAGGCAGACGTTCTGCATAGTAAAAGTAACATAATATCAAAAGTATATTGCTTAAAAAAGTATTAAATATATTTATGAAGGTATATTATAAAAAAAAATAAAAGCCAAAAGTATTTGCACTAGGTTTTGTTCACTTAAACTATTTCAAATAAATTTGTTATAATGAATAATTATTTAATGAATGTGAATGTAAATCTTCAAATTATTTATCGATGAATTAAATATTAAAAAAATATTTACTTGATAAAAATCTTTCTTTTTTCAATAGTATCGAGTATCTCAAAAACATTATTCGAATTTAAACTTCTATGAACTCTACAAAATATTTTATCAATATATCCGATTAGTATTTATAAAAATAATGCATCTATTTCAAATCTGAATAGATTTGATTTAATATTTTTCATAGTTAGAAATGTTGAAATTAAAAGAAAATAATATGCAACATATTTTTAAGCTTAAATCATCTTACATTGTTCTTTATCGTGTGTTACAATGAAATTCAGTTATCGTTAACATGAGTATTTTTAGTAACATTTATTAGCAATTCAAAACAAAATGAAATTACTTACTTATTTTGTTATAATAAAACTTATAAATAAAGAGTTTTATTCAGCATGTCCCGTATTGTTCGTAGATCATAGTTCTTTACCAAATTTTTTAATATTAAAAAAAACTTCAGAGTGTTTCTTTTTCAAATGAAAAAAGCAAACGATTAAAAATATATTTATACTTGTTATTTTTTTTAAACTATCGTCTGTTATAAAATCTACTAAACTTATTCTTTTAACGAAATTGAGTATAAGTACTTTTTTATACCAAGTAATTATATTTGTATTATTTTAAGTTTGTTACTTCTTTCTAAGTAGAGTAGAGATTAGCTTGAAAAATTAAATAGCTCAAATATACTAAATGTTAAAAAAATAGATACATCCAATATAAATTTTTCTAATTTTTGTAGTAGAACTAAATTTAAATAAAACATTTTTTATTGTAACTCTTGCAGGATGGCAATTCTTACAGAGAAGAGTGTTACGATTCACAGCAAGAATTGGTAACTTTGGTACAACAGACTTCAGACCATTTTTACCAAAGCAATCATGGCAATGGCATGCTTGCCATTTGTAAGAAACTTTTTTTTTCTTCATAAGTGCAAAAAATTATCAAATTTAATAATTTTTAACAAGCTTTTTAACACATTAATNATACTTTATCAAAGGCAAACGTTGTTAATAAAGAAAAATAATACAATTGGAGCAAATAATTTAAAGCCATGAAAAGTAAGTTCCTTATGTCTTAAAACTAATTAAAAACAGGGTCACTTCCTGACTAGATTTGCATTAATAGTTAAAATAAAATTCAAAATTAAACTACTGTAAATTCCAATGAAAAATTGTCGTGTTGTTTGATAATGCTGGTTACCAATCATTATTTTAAAGTCACAATCAAGTATTATTAAAATAAATGATAAGGAATTTAAGTAAATACGAAAGAAAACTATTTATTTGTAAATCTATTTTAATTAATGCATATTACATCAAAATTTCTTTTTTTTAAATTAAACATAACCTATTATTAATGATAGATCTTATTTATACTACTTAAAAATTAATCATGTATTCAGACTCAAATTTCTTGACAATTTTTTATTTCACTGGAAAAATCTTTCTAAGTCGAGTGATTGGCTTTGAAAATTAAATAGCTCAAATATACGAAATTTAAAAAAAAACTAGATACATCCAATATAAATTTTTCTAATTTTTGGAGTTGAATTATATTTATATAAAAACATTTTTTATTCTAACTCTTGCAGGATGGCAATTCTTACAGAGAAGAGTGTTACGATTCACAGCAAGAATTGGTAACTTTGGTACAACAGACTTCAGACCATTTTTACCAAAGCAGTCATGGCAATGGCATGCTTGCCATTTGTAAGAAACTTTTTTTTTCTTTATATGTGCAAAAAATTATCAAATTTAATAATTTTTAATGAGCTTTTTAACACATTAATGTTTGAGTCTTCACTCCACCACTAAATCTCAAGAGTAAAAGTAATTTTAAAAGTAAACGTAAACTTGCAATTAAAATCAACAATAATGTTTCATTTAGACATAAGTCACGCATACTTACAACAAAATCAGCAATGTTTTTTTTAAGCCATAACTCCCAAGAGTTAAAATAAGCTTAAAATAAAAGCTATCGATTTTTCATTTAGCCCTACCACAAAACTCAAAAGTCTTGCATGATGGTTAAAAATAAATTTATTAAACAATCTTAAAAATGAATTTTTCAATGAATTGTAGACATTACTACCGCTGGAACATAACTTCCAGCAAATTAAAAAATGAATAGCCATCTATATGTTTACATAAAGGATATTTTTGCTAAATGTGACTTTTGAATTTTGAGCATTCAATATTTAAATATTACGAAAGTTACAAATAAATTTACAAAATTTAAAAAAACGAGAAAATTTTAAAAAGTCCGAGTAAATTTATTACGTTGTAGGCCTCTCAAAACTTAAATTATACATACGTTATCACGTAATATATTCCTGGTATCAGATTCCTGACAAAGCGTTCCTGTTTTTTTACTGTCACTTTATTACTGTATTAAATCACTGGGAAAACATAAAACATGGTATTTTAAGCAAGTATTTTACCTTCAGAAAATACATTTGTCATGCCATTACTTCAAAGATAACGAACATAAACCTATTTATCAATAAATGAAAATAACCACTCAACCAATCACTTTCCCTGAGTAACAACCCTGAACTTCTCTTCAAAAATCACCGAAAATGGCGCGCGTACTGACAGACTCGATTTGTAATAGGGTAAAGAAAATTATAGGGATGAAGTTGACACCACGAACAAAATAAATTGGAGTAAATTTCGCAATTTAATTAATTTTTTTCGCCTTGAATTTTCTTTTTCAAGGATGTGATCAAATAGGTTTTGTCTTACCTATAATTATTATTATTTATTATATATTTTAATAAAATTCCAAAATCAGTTTTGATGGCTAAATTTGAAAGCTAACATGCCTAAATTAAGTTAATCATATAAATTGGTATAAATTGTTTTGCATGCTGTGCGAGAGCTTTTAGAAGGTCATATTACTTAACTAACAATTAATTATATAATATTACAGATTTATGGGCAAGATGTACTTGTAGAAAAAGCAATAAAAGAATTCAAATTATATTTGAATACCCACAGTCAAACAAGTTATATGAATTTAATTTTTCAAAAAGAGATTAATGCAAAGTTTTCAAGGCAACTTTAGGCAGATTTATAAACTTATTTGAATTAAGAATGTTATTTTCTTAACAGTGATATGTTATGTATACGTAGGTATATGCATAAATATTATGCATTGAAATTTAAAAAAAAAATACTTCAATATGCAGTTTAAATAAGACAGTAATAAATTATTATTTTTTTTAAATAAAAAATTTAATCTTGTAACTTAAATTATTTTAAAAATGAAGATTTATTATAAATGTTAAATTTAAAGTATTATAAATTTAATAAATATTTAATTAAACCAATTATTAAAAATGTACTTGAATGTTCCATCAATTACTCAAAAATTTAGAAATAAAATTAAAAAATGCTCATTTGTGACTGAATCTTGATTATTAGTCGGCTCCAGAAAAATTAATAATAATGAATAATAATGAGCTAAATTCCAGATCTCACATTAAAAAAAAAATTTTTTTAATTCTTTTATCCTCCTAAATTTTCGAAGAAGAAAGTATTAAAAAAATCAAACTTCCCAGATTTCTACACGCTTCACCGCATTAACGACCAAGTTAATCATGTAAACTAACGAAAGACATTGCTGATGTTTTCATTATAAAAATTTTATAAATAAAGTAAAAAATATGTAAATAAAAAGATTTTTTCTATAAAAAAAAGTATTTCTTAATAATATTGTTTTTAAAAAAAAGAATTTTTTATTCTCATTCAAACTCTGAGCTTAATATAAAATTTAATGATTGGAACAAACACCAATCAATCCTATTGGGATTAATCTGCTTCTTTTTATTTCTATCTTCCAGTCATAACATTTAAATAAAGATGTTTTATCAAAGCATGTCATGAAGATTATGAGAAAGTAAATTAAAAGTATTTAAGTGTAAGAGTTTCTGTTTTACAGTAAAAGATACCAAGTTTATTATATATTTATTTACCATTTAGATATTAGATTTCAGCGGTGATCCAGTGTCTATACTTACTACTTAGCATTTAGAGATTATACACACACAATATTGTCGAATTTCAAAAAGGGTATAAAACTTGGCGTTTAAAATACTCGTTATATAATAAAATTATGTTTAAATTATTATCTTGGCCTATTATATTAATAAATAGTACTAATTACGAAAAAAATACAATAGTTTGATTAATTTGTTTGATGGAACGTGGATCTATTCAATCGAAGTATGCTATGCAATTATCACTACATCGCATGAACATAACTGTACATGAGTACATGAACATAACTGTCAAAGATTACCTATCTATTGGGATACAAAACCTTAAACCATTGAAAACTTAATAAAATTAAATTACGGAATCATTGACATATCCTAAATTTATTCATTACCGAATAATAACATTTAAATTTTAAATACTTAGACAATGAAAGAAAAGGCGTTGCAGGATTAAGTGTAAACGGATATTTTATTGGCAAATGATAATGGTACTTAAAAATAGGGATTCAATAAGTGACATAATTCGATATCTTCTAGAATTACCAAATTAATGATAACGATACGTATGAACAGCTGTTCTATCCCCATTCAAACATTAACATGCATCATATAATTATATTTCAACTAACAAACATAACTATCACTCACATAAAAATATGAAGAGGCGTGCAGTAATAAATAATACGAGTTCAACAAGGAAGTTACCTGGTTGTTCTGTTAATACAAAAAGCAAAAGTGTGAATGACTCATTTTAAAAACAACTCTTTTGTGCTTAACTCTAGCGTCCTTGATACCGAAGGGCCTCTAATTTTGTTGAATTTCTTTGTCCTCTTTCTATATCAGGCACTATCACAGCATGGAGGTGTTCGCCCATTTCGACATCATCGACTCTCGCGGAACCAAAGTAGCCGAAGGTCATAAGGCCAGTTTCTGTTTGGAAGATAACGAGTGCCACACCAACATACCCAAGAAATATGCTTGTGCCAACTACGGAGATCAGGGAATTTCCGTGGGATGCGTCGATACGTACCACCACAATATTGACTGCCAGTGGGTGGATATAACAGACCTTAGACCAGGAACATATTACTTCAAAGTAAGTACACACAACTATAGTATATGATAGTCTGATAGAGATGTCAAAACTGACGTCACTTCACTTAACTATCAACTGGTAATTCATCATTCAGTTACAATTAGCAACTAGTGGGAATAAGTTTCCGTTGGAATGGGAATACAAATCGTCCAAAAGAAATGGTGTAAGTAAACATCTGGTAGTAATTCACGACAACAAAAGTATGGCAACTGATTGATATATACTACTGTAAGAAATAGATACCCAAATTTCACGAAATTTCTTCGTTTTTGACGAAACCGTTTCCTTATATATACTCCGAGCGAACATTCCGTCAGAGTGACGAAATAACTACAGTCACGTCTTTAAGGAAACGAATTTCGTCAAGAGAAGAAATGTTTCGTCAAGAAATATTTCGTAATTCTAGTAATTCTTCTCGTCTTTCTAGTTGCGTCATTCTACTTAATCATCCACAATGCACTGCGATGAGGTTCCGAGTTGAGAAAACATTTTCGTCATATATTTGAGAGTGCGTTTTGTCACAAATCACGGGATTTCGTGACGAATGATTCTCAAAATTAACGAAACACAGCTCGAGGATTGCTGAATCGTTAAAAGTGAGAATTTTGTTTCTGGGAGTATAGTCAAGTGATTTAATTGAGCCTCTGAATTGGATATTAAGGGAAGTATTTAATAATTAAGAAAGGAAAACAAACAATCAAAAAATAAAAATGTTTTCAATTTTTAAAAATAATTGTTTTTAATGTGTGATTTGAGGGTGCAGCCTCATTTTGTACTTTAAACAGCAAATTTCCCTAAGCAAATTTTCTTTCATCGTCATTATGCACGTAAAAGGATTTGATCAAATAAGCTTTCACTTTTACATACTTCAATTATGCAATAATTATGCAATTATGCATACTTTAACTATGCAATTATATATACTTCAATGATGTAATTTTAAATCATACTTCATTCTTGAAGTTAGCAGAAAGGGAATAAATGCTTGGTAATAAATCAATGCTTGGGTAAAAAATTATTATCCTAAAATAGTTTATGAGATATTGAAAATTTAAAAGGTCGCTGTACCATATATTTCGCATAAAATTATTATGCAGCAAAAATGTTTGAAAAAACGATTTCAAAAATGAGGAATTTTCAGAATCGTTTTCTATTTTCCATATTATAATTTTTATTTTGGAGTCATTATTCTAGGATAAAATATGATTTTTAATTTTTTTATTAACGTTTACATATTTTCTTAACATTAAAAAAATGAAGAATCCTTATCTTCTACCACCTGGTATTGAATCATTTTTCAATATTATAAAACAAATACCAAGAAATGTAAACCCACATTCTAAACGCAGCATAAAAAGAACATACTAAAATACTTATCTTCATTAAAAATTCATCAAGCTTAACTTTTATTTTTGTGTTGAATTAAATAGCCACACAAGGTGTAGATAAAAAATACGTCCAGATCCACGCAAACTCTTCTTTTTTGTATGCCAAGGTTAATTTCGAGGTCACTTTTCCAAATATGAACAATTAAGTAGCTGATCTTTTGTTTATTTATACGATTCACACATCTCGAATCGTACGGAAAAACCAACATTGGTTGGAAAAAAAAACATTTTTTATTCTAAGAAATGAAACTGTCTCTTTTATCTTGACTTTTATTTCATAATGTTCCTTTTTCTTTACATTGTTCTCCTTTTTTACTAACATTCCGGCTATCATCGGCTTTTGTTTCTTTACAAATTGTTTTCTCTTATCTTTTGATGATAGCTCATAAAATAGAAGATTTAATTTCGATAGAACGAAAAATATTCCTGCGACCTTAAGATTTCATGATTTTGTTTTACGCATTTGTAGAAATATATTTTCATACCTTGACATTATTTAGAAAAAATTAATATTGTTTCCTTCAGTATATGGCTCAAATTTCTTTGTGTTGCAAATGTAACGTAATAAATTGTCTAGGTGGATACAGTAATTGCTCTTTTATGATGTTTTTCAAAACTGATTTAGGTACTTTCGGTACGGTACCACGTTTTGAAACAATCTGTAGCAAATAAAGTAAAAAATGTAGTTAATATTAAAACTACATTATTTTTAGAAATCCTAAAACACCTTAAATTGAAAAATAAAACATAAGCTTAAAAATACTTAAAAATCGATTAAAAATTATTGGAATTGTATATTCCAATGGTTTACTGAACGCAAAATAAAATAGAGGATACCTTAATAACTTTTGATCCAACGATTAGATTTTCACCTTCTAAAATACTATCCTAGCAGTGCAGACGATATCATCGGAGGGGTGCACTTTGGATCCTTAACCTACAAAATATTTTGGATTCTTCAATCTGAAAAACATTCTCCTAATAATTTAAGAACGAATGCGGTCGTAATTTGGGGCTATTAATTTCAATTTTTTTTCACGGTGAACGGTTTCAAAATAATCGTATTTTTAAATTTTTATTCGTTATTCCGTTTAAAATTTAAACCGTGACATTTAAAATGTCATAGTTAAAAATGATGTAAAAATTTGTAGACCTAATAATCTAAAAAAAGAAAATTGACATTAATAAAAAGTAATAAATAATTATAAAAATGATTACGTAGCATTACATTTGAATTAGCGAATTTTATAATTAAGTAAGAAAATTGCTTAATTACATTCAACGGATCAAGAGTATGGTAAAATGTGCATAAGGTGAAATTAACATTAAGAAGCCCAAACTTTCGTCTGTTCTCCTACCTCAACTGTGGGACATTATTATGCAAATTGGGGATCAAAATTTGAAAATCAGGTACCCAAATCCATCGAAGAATATGTTTTTTCTTAGAAAAATGGTGTCTGCTCTAACTAATTAAAATATATTTAAGATTAGGTCTCGTCTCACGAAAGTACGCGAAATCAGTTCATTAGATCACAAATAATTAAGGTGTCTGCTTATTATTTTGCACAGTGTATATACCTCGAGATTTTTCTAATTTCGTAACATAAAATACAGGCTGCTTATTTTAGCATTTTTAAGATAAGTCCCTTGAATAATTTAGATTGCATCTTTTGGTTCGTAAAAGTCCAATTATTAGAATTTGACCAAAAGTTATTTTTAAAAAATTTCTTTTTTGCTTTGAGCACGGTATGTACAATTTGAATCGGTAATAATATCCGATAGTTTTTTACTGCGTTTTAAGTTTATAAATGTAGATTTTATTATAGGCTTTATTATAAGCTTCATTATAGCCTTTATTATAGACCTTATTAAAGATTTTATTATAGCCATTATTATAGACTTTATTAGAGATTATATTAGTATGCTTGAGATTTTTCAGCAGGTTTGAAATACAATATAAATCCTCCATCCTACATAAAAATATATGTTTAACCATAAAAGTAAAAATCTATGTTAAAGAGTTTCACTTTTACTGTAAGTTACGATATTAATACTCAGCATAAGAAAGGTATGATAAAATAAACTACAATAAAGCTTTTAGGCAATTAACACCCTAAGATTGAATATATTTATGCTTTAAAAAAATGTCCAGACCAAAGCATTGGATTATAAATTTAGCTTTCTGAATTTTGTCATTTTAATGCACAGTTTTTCCATTTTTGATCTTTTTTATTTTGAGCGTAAAAATCCAATTATTTGAATTAGAACATAAATTATTAAAAAGTTTTCTTTTTTTCTTTTGAGTCATTTTTTAATTGGTATATACAATTTGAATTTATAATAAAAACCGACAATTTTATTATTATGTTCTACGTTTATTAAAGTAGATTTTATTATAGACTTTACAGTAAGCTTCTTTATATTCTTTATTATAGACTTTATTACCACGTTTAGCTTTTTTCAACAATTTTGAAATGCAATGTAAATCCATCAAAAAATATATGTATAACAGTAAAGAGGTAAAAAACTATATTAAAAATTTTTACCGTAAGTTACAAAAAGTAATACATGGTTTAAGTAAGGTAGGGTAAGTTAAACTACTGTAAAACTTTTAAGCAAATTAACACCCCAAGTTTGAATATATTTATAAAGAGAATAAAAATGTCCGGACGGAAGCTCTAGATTATAAAATTAGTTTTTTTTAATTTTTTCAATTTTTAGTCGAGTAGCGTGAACTTGAATTCTGTAGACATTTAATCTAACTAGAACAAAATAGTAGATTTTGGTTTTGCTTCTATGATAGCGATGCATTGAGAAATAAAACTCAAACGTGTTACAATTTTTTTATGTCTCAAACCTAAAGCAAAAAACAAAAAGTATTTGAATATAATTAATTTAAAATAATCACATCACCAACAATGAATTATAAATCTATACTATAAAATTCTATTAAAACGGGAAAAATTATTTTAATTTTTTTAAGTGAGATAGAGATAGGTTTCAAAACTTATTAATAATGCTTCGTGCGCGCCGAATTAATTTGCTTCGTGCGCGCCGAAGCATTGTAATTCTGTATCGGAAAATTCAATTAATGTCCGAGAATTTTAACTATTTCAAAATCTGGTTGACTTACCGTTTTGGATGTTTGCAGACCAATTTATTAAATTAACTGCAAGAAAATAATTTATTTTTATTTGTAAAAAGCTTGCCAACTATCACAATAATTTCAAAACAATTACCCTTCAACCCGCACCGCGGCCAAACGAGAAAACTAGTGACAACAGTTTTTTAAGCTTAAGTTATATGTATAGAATATCGATAAAAAAATATACATAAATGTCTTCATTTCTCTGAATAAAATGTATTTCATTCAAGAAAAAATCTCAAAATCAAAATCCGAGTGAATAATTTCAAATTTATCTAAGAATTAATCCCACTTAACACTGCTCTGCAGACAACAATGACAATACTACAAACTGGTACCAAAACTGTCGGGGAGGGGGAAAAAAACATGACGAAATAATAAATCCATAAAGTCTATCGGTCGCATGATAGGAAAGAAAACATTCTGACACCACAATACTTTATTGATCAGAATTTAGCTGTTGACGT